GTGTGTGTGTGTGTGTGTGTGTGTGTGTGTGTGGTAAGTGACTTTAATTGTCACTATTTTTATTTTTTTTAACCAATGACAGATTCGTTTGAACTTGTGAGTCATATTGAGTGATTCTTTAACAGAGTCATTTGTTTGTGAATCAGACACTGATCATGCTGTGTGTTTTGTTCATTCAGTCAGTGCAGACAGTGTAATGTGAAGACGTGTCGTCGTGTTATTTTGTGTTCCCGTCTCAGACAGCAGACGTACAGCTGCAGTGAGATATGATTGGTTTCCCGAGGCGCTGCAGATTCAGCAGTATCTGAGGAACTAATTTCAGGATGAAAGAGATTATTTGATGATCTCCGTCGGCTCATTAACACACTGGTGTAATGGTCTGTCTGAGGCTCGTTACAGAGGAGAATGCCGCTGGTGTCGGCAGGTTTCTGTCGGTCCAGCAGCAACAGACGGCTGTTTGTTCTCAGACTGACGCTCCAGTCACTGGACATGAGTTCATGACGTCAGTGGTGGGCGCTGTGAAGATCACAATGCACTTATTTCTGCTGGAGATTCCCAGAAAGCATGTGACAGTCAGTCTCAGAGAGGCACGTCGTCTCATTTCTGTCATTTCATTCACATCTGAGACGCGTCACACAACAAAAGAATGTGATTGTTACGAATTTATACAGATTTCCGTATTTACTGACCTGAGGTGTGACCAATGTGAAATATTGCTGTTTTCATATACATTTAAAATACATTTATTTAATGTATGGATCACTTCTGACAGCACCACACAAGCTACATTTACTACATTTGTGTAAAAGCTATTTTTTTTACATATTTTAAAAGCAAAATTATTATTATTATTATTACTATTATTAATAAATACCTGTTTTTATTTTACTGTGCTATAGTATTGCAACACTAGTATTTTTCTTAATTGATTTGTTTTATATTTCTTAAATAGTAATAAAATAAAAATATTAGCTATTATTATTATTATTATTATTAAATATAAAATAATTATTTTTTATTATTAAATATTAATAATTTATTTCTTAATTTATTTTTTGTTTTACATATTTTTTAACAATAATAAAAAATATTTATTTGAATAATAATTATTATTATTATCTCAGATGCAGTGAGTCAAATGAGTCAGTGCTTGTTTTGTTTAATATATTTTAAACAATAATAAAATGTACTTTATTATTATTAAATATGTTTTTTATTTTACAGTGCAATAGTATTACAATAGTAATTACTGTATTTCTTAATAGATTTTTGTTTTGTATTTTTAAATAAAATAAAATATTAGTTTGAATAATGATGATAATAATATTATTGTTATTATTATCTCAAATGCAGCGAGTCAAATGAGTCAGTTCTTGTGTGTAAAAGACCATTAAAATATTTGATAAAGCACATTACAGTGAGTTTGCCACAGATGAAGAGTGTTTCTCTGCTGAACTACAGAATTAAACGTTAGTCGCGTTAGAAGCTACAAACCCATTTCGTTTCTAATTGGATCTGTTATTTTGAAGTGTGTAAGTGATTCATGAGAGTTGTTTGTGGTCATTCGACTGAGCTGTGTCTTTATGAGATGCTATTTAAGAACTAACTGACAATTAAGCGCAGCTCATGACGAGCAGCATCGCTCTTCTGCTACCCACAATCCCACAGCACTGCGTTATTCACTGCTGATATTACAGCCGTAGCCTGAGGACAGGTCTCTCGCTCTCTCTCACACACATTCCTCATCAGCACAACTTTAACCTCCTTTAAGGCCTGTGACTCCAGAGGTCAAAGGTCAGAGGTCACGGAGCAGAAGCCGTCAGAGTAATTAGATAATGAGGTGTCTTCACTACATGGGCAGCTGCCTACTAAGAGAGCGTTCTGAGCGTCATGCATGCATTTTCTGAGGAAACGTTTAATATAAAAGTCAGTTCAGATTAAAGTACTTTATTGACAGGATTGTGTTTGCATGCAGTATTACCAAAGCATTATTACACAAAACATGACGTGACATGTAAGCATTTATCAGACGCCAACAAAAGAGGAACAGCATTTCATCAAAGAGCCAACAATCTTCCTAATATACAATGCCAGGTTTAGTACAAAACAAGTACTAAATAAATATAGCAATAACAAGTAATACAAAAAAAGGCATTGCAATTCTGTCTGTTTTATGGAAATGTTTTTTTTTTTGTATGTTCATTATTTGCTGGTACGGCAATCTCAGTGAAAGAAATAGGAGTAAAGTGAGCAACAGACTCAAAATGCAGCATGATAGTGAGGACTGACTGACAAAATTATGAAATTAAGACGACTAAGAAGGATTCATCAAATAAATGGAAGAATCAGTTTATTCCTGTAGTGATTATTTAATGTGTGTTGAGTTTTGTGTATGTACTGCTGTCTACCAAACAAACTGCTGCGAGGACAATAAAGTCAGCAGACAGCAGCTCTGATGTTGTTAATGTGACAATCTAATATGCATGAAAATGCAGCACACACATTGAATAAAACTGCTCATTTTGATTAGAAACAGCAGACATACACAAATGGATCAAATTAAAAGTGCCAACAGGGGTGCAAATGCAAGGGAAAATAAAATAAAATAAATAGAACAGAAACAAAAACAATCTCAATCCACAATAACAAACCTTAAAAATCAAGAACAATAGCACACAGTAAATATGAATGTGATTACATGCTTGTTCCTGCGTTCTCACTGTGGTGGTTTTGTAATATTCTTGAAATTTGGCTCCATTTTGCCTCTGAAATATTCAATAAAACAGCTAATTTTTGAATTAGTCAAACCAAAAATTATTCAGACACCAGATATCATTTTAATTTAAATTTTAAATAAAAAATTATATATATTTTTTTACTAGTGAGTGCAGGACACTATAGTTCATTTATGTAAGTGACAATAGCAAAATAAAGTCAACTGTGACATATTATACCCAAAAATTCTTCATACAGTGGACTACCAGTAAAATTGATACAATTTGGGACCAAAAATGATTCAGACACTTTGACCTGACCATGTTTTGCTTAAGTGTTGTCTGACTTTATCAAGATTAATTTGTTCCGATACAGTTTAACTCTGAGCTCTTGTCATATTTCATTACCATTTTCTAAACTCTAGCGAATAAACTGTGATAATGTGTGAAATGTTGAAGGTGTCTGAATAAATTGACTGTATATTTTTAATCAACACTTCTCTCATAGTGATTTTGGATCTGTGTAGCTTCTAAATGATCTATGTAGTTAAACCGTACTGTGCCACCAACTGCCAATTGCTTGTTTAATATCTGCTATTCAATTCATCTTCTTAAACTATAAAGCTTTTGAAAGCTGAAAAGCTGAAGATTCGCCATGAAGTCTGTGTTTCAATCAGCAAATTATAGCAGGACTAATACTTTAAAAAGCAGAAAGAAGCAGGAAAGAGACACCATTGTGTTTGTGATCAGAACAGTTGAATCTGCTAATCTTGTAACCATCCCAGTGAAATTTTTCAACTGGGCAAAATCACAAAATAATTTAGGGGAGGGTCCCTCAACTGAAAACGACACATAACACAGTAGTGCATTACAAAATGTTTATATAAATAAAGGCAATCCACAGATCATTACGGCATGTGTATGAAAAACAGTCAATAAAGTCTTTTTGAATACAAAACAAACCGTCGCATTAATCATTTATCAAAATAAAGGACAAAAAAACTTATCTGGTTGAATGAGTACTCGTCTCTAAGCCGAAACAAGCACTGAATCCGAATACTGAAGTCCTCAATGATGATAGGAGTTAACAAAATCCAATAGTCCGATAGCAAGAGTAACATTAATAATCAGCAATCCGAGTTTCCTCAAAACATAGAGTGCGTTGCAATTCTTTGATGTTGATTTGTCCCTCGATGAGCACAGAGTTTTGATGAAGTTACTTCTTAGTCCATTGATGAGGCATTCAAAGTAAAGAAGAAAACGGAAAGACAGAAACAAAAAGAGTTCTTCTACAAAACAAACAAACAACTAGTATTAGCATTTAACAACAACCCATACTTTCACCACTAGATAAATTATTTACAAAATAAGTGCAAAGTTACACAGCACAGAATAAACTGATACACTTACTTGATTGAGCTGAAAACCTAAGTTTCTCAAACTGAACTCCATTTGCGGTAAGGTTATGTAAGTGAAAGCCATGTTTCCGCTTAATCAAACAGGTATGTCTTACTCTACTGCCTACATCCATTTTATCCCTTACCATAGAAAATCATGTAGGGCCCCCTGGAGCACAGTAGAAGAACTACACACAAAAACAACAACATAGTAACTGTACTATAGTCGGTTACACAGCTGTTCGCAGAAAAAATACATGATACACCATTTGTATTTCAGTGGATGTATACTGTGGTGTTTTTATAGCAAAAAAAATGTAGAGGGTTTAATTTGGCCATCGAA